TTGTGCCATTTTACAAAGTATTCGCGCATGCGCGCCTTCGGCTTTTTCGAAGTTGAAGGCTCATTCGATTCAACCCAACGCCATGTGATAATTTTCTCAGCCTTGCCCGAGAGTGGCGGACAACTGCAACGTGGACATTTCCAATCGCCATCTGGTATGGTGTCTAAGGGTGGATTGAGACAGAAAGTGTGGTAGGCTGAGGGACACGAATCACAGCACAGCAGTTCACCGCCATCCTTGCATACGCGACAAAATTCCTGATGCTCATCGTCGTCTTCCTCTTCGGCAGCGCCACCATCAGCCTCACAATGCGGGCACGACCATTTACCCTCGGGTGCTTCATCCAATTCGGGTTCCAAGCAAACCAAATGATAAGCGCGCGGACATGTATCGCAAAGTATAATTTCGCCACCCTGCTGGCAAACTTCACAGTAATCTTGGTGTTCGTGCTCACCCTCCTCGCCATCAGGAAAACGGCTGGTGGTCTTTAGCTTCTTCTTCTTCTTAAACTTATTACCTATCTTAGTTTTGGCTTTCTTGCGCACAACTGGTGCAGCGTCCTCGGTAGTTGCTTCTACTTTATCGGCAGGAGCAGCAGATTCTCTCTCATCGGCACTATCATCGGATTTTTGTAGCATTTTCTCGAATTCCAAATCAGAATCACGCTCTGAAGCGCCGCTAGCATCCTGATCCTCATCGGAACTACCACGTTTACGTTTGCCAAACTTAATTTTCAATGTTGGTACTTTGCCGGAACGTCGACCTTTTTTGCTGCTCGAACGACCGCCACGCTTGCGGCGCGAACGTGAAGTTTCCTTTTCCTCTTCCTCGTCTTCGTCCTCTTCTTCTTCCTCATAAATATCATCAGGCTAATTAGAGGTAAAAGGATACACATATATACATACATACACATATATTTTTGAATATTAAAAATATTGGCATTTACTATTATTCATTAAACTAGGGAAATGAAATGAGCCAAACTGTTTGTCCTATTTTGTAATTTTTTTTCCAAATAAAGGTTTCAAAAGATGAAAATTTTCCTTTCTAAATTTTGCTGTGGTATAAGCATGTTTTAAGCAATTGATTCGGAAGACCGAAACTAAGCGGCATAGGTACCACTTAATCGAAACGAAAATCTCTTCCTATTTGACAGCTAGATTCATCCTATGCACTTCATGAGCTGTTTCACCTAATAAAGACGTGATATATATGTATGTACGTATGAGCTACATAAGGGCTTGCTTTCTGCACCTTAGTCCAATTGCTTTTTTCGATCTTCCCTTTTTCTTATCTCGTTACTGCACCACTAGTTTCTAGGTTGGGACGTGAGTTTTTTGAGGTTAGGTAAAACTAATTGATTATGCCGTTATCATTTCCAATTGGCCGGTTACCAAGGCAAAACACATTTACGGTGTTTTGAACAAAAAATTTTGATAAAAAATTAATGTGTTTCACCGTGAACGATTGGAATTGAACTTTCGCTAACAACAAAAATAAAAAAAAACAATAAAATTTTAACAATTTTGGTTACGGTAAAATAAATTCTGAGAGCAAAAATTTTGTCGCGGTTAAGAAATCCGTTATTAGTAAGTTGGCCAACTCGACATCTGACCTTTAGTTATACACGGAAACCCTTGCGCACTTTTCAATACTGCATTTTGACTTTTTCAAATTCCATATTAAATACTGCTTAATTTTTTATCTACATATCGCACGCCGAAAAACTATTTCTTAGCACATGATAATCATATGGGCAAGGGCGACTTTACCTTAGGTTTATTAAATTATAATAAAAAATTGCTCCAGATTTTGCCGAAAGGTAAATAAAAAAGGTAAATCAAAAATGCCAAATTTTGAGTTGTGACTCTTTTGAAGACGGTGTGCGATATGTGCATACATTTGCACATATGTATGTATATATATTTCACTTACCTTCTCATTGCGTGAAGACCGCGATGAACGTGGCTCCTCAGCCTCCTCGCCACCTGTACTGCGCCCCTGCTCCGATTGTAAATTCGGATTTACTTCGCAAAATTCACGCCACTTGGCGGCAACTAACATCATTAGCTTGGGCGCTGGTATTTTGGGATTTTCCTTTTGCAATATAGGACGAACATGTTGTGTAAATGATTTGTACGATATTAAATTTTGCATATCTGTTTCGGTGTAATCAATTTCAACATCGGTGACATTGAAGGCAGAGCAAACGTCCTCGACAGATGGCATGCCTTTGAATTGAAGAAAACAATACAAAAAAAAAAAAACAAAGAAACCTTAGTAAATTTCATTTATAACTAAATAATTGATGTAATCGAAGTTACTGACGCTATTTATGGGCCCTGAAAAACTGATGCTTAACTGGTCAAATGTTTTTTTGATCACAGGACAAATGGTCACGACAAACAAGTAATTTTTAGCAAAAAAACGACTTAAAAAAAAAAAATATATATATAATATATATATATATATTCCATGATCCAATGATCGGATCTAAACCAGATAACCACATTAGTATGGGACCACCTCTGAGACACTACCTTTTCGATGCAAGAATTATCGAAATCGGTTGACGTGGTCCAAAGTTATGCCGTAACATACATAAAAAAAAAAAAATTCCGACGAACTGATAACCTCCTCATTTTTTGGAAGTTGGTTAAAAAACACAGACACACACGCCTTTTACGAGTATGTAAGACTACGGCCATGTATGATATGTATGGCGTATGAGTATGATTGACCAACTATTTCTAAGGTCAAAGAAGTACAGAAACTGAAATCAAAAATGGTATGAAAGTAATGAGAAAATGGTAAAAGCAAAATATGCAAAAACGTTAACAGTCTACCAATTCAACCGTTATATGAGATGTGGGCGTGGTTAGTGACCGATTTTAAAAATTTTGGGCCATTTGGTATGTTGTACCAAGGCTAACACTGTGCCAAGTTTGGAAAAATTTTTTTTGGTATCTTGTTTTTTTTTTACTAGTCTGTGAATTGAAAAAGAAATGTTCAATGGTCGTGAAAAGCTGTTGACCTTATGGCAGTTGCAAATGTATTCAGAGGTAAACAATAATGCATAAAAATTACTTTTGTCTAACTTTAGAATTTTTCAGATGTATTTAATAGAAAATATGCTGGATCTGGAAAAGAATTCCATAGAGCGGGCGGAAAGTGGTTCCAAACCCAAAAAGGAACGTATTTTAAACAAGATAAAAAATATTTTTTGATTTACTTCAGGATTTTTCCGTTTTTATTTGTTTTTTACTGAATAATATGTAAATCACTTTTTTAATTCAGCGTTTTCTTTTTCAATAAAAAGAAATGATGAAAATACTTTAATACTAATTAATTACAACGTGCGAAGTCAATTTTACACACGAAAAAATCAATATATTCACAAAACTGGGGGCCTAATAAAGTAAAACTACGTTTTTAGTTTTTCTCTCTGACGTCAGGATTTTTTTAAAAGGACTTTGAAATTTCAAAAAAATTATTGAATAAAAAAAGTATTCAAAAGAAGGCGGAGCCAGCCTTTCAACTAGGGGGCGCAGGAGTTTATATAGAGGAAAAAAATGTTTTTAATTAAATTTTTAATTTTTTTTTGTGTATAAATAGCAATTTTTGGGTTTAAGTATCAGTTTTCTGGTATCCTTTACAACGATACCAATTTTTTAAAAATCGGTTTATATTTTTTTGTTTAAAATGTTTTTTTTTTTTATAAAAAAGGTATTTTTTTCTTTTTAAGTGTTTTTCTCAAATTTTTATATACAAGTATACAAATATGTTTGTATACCAGAACAAAGGGGGATTAATCGCCTTTACAGCGATACTAAATTTTTGATTTCGGTTATTAATTTTGTAACAAAATTTTTTGGTTTATAAAATAACATAATAGTTTAAAAAACTAAAACCTCGCTATTATAATTTCCATTCGTACTGTCAAGTATGTAACTTGAGAATAGAAATCGCTGCATCTTTTAGGCGCATCAATATTACATAGTTACATCCCGAGCTAATAAAAGGGAGGTAAAAAGGTATTTTTTCCTTTTAAGTGTTTTTCTCAAATTTTTGTATACGAAGTATAGGTTTGATTGCGTTTACAACGACATCAATTCTTTAAAAATCGGTTAGTAATTTTTTTGTTTAAAATACTTTTTTTTTATAGAAATAAAAGGACATTTTCAACACTTATTCGTTCTGGAGTGCCAAAATTTAAAATTTTTTTCAATTCAAAAGAATTTTTCCTTTTAATTGATACCCATATTGTTACACTACAATGCACCAAGTTTTTAAATAATTTTTTTATTCAATCATATCCTAGAAATTTCAAAGTCTTAAAAAAAAATCCTGACCTCAGAGAGAAAAATGAAAACCGCAGTTATAGTATATTTTGGCTCCTAGTTTTTTAGTGTTTTAAAAATTTTTGGTTTTTGTCGCACGGTGTTATAACAATATTAAGAACATTTTGAGAATTGTAAAGCCTCCTTTTCGGACTCAGCTGGTATGTTGGGAACAATACTTTTGAAAAATTTAATTTTTTTTTATTTTCAAGTTTACATAAAAGACTTTAAAATGCTGGAAAACTTAAAAAAAAAATCATTGCCGACGAACTGTTTTAAATAAATGTGAAAATAATTCAAATTTCTTTTGCGAATTAGAAAAGGTCGATAACTCTCCCCAGAAAATAAGGACTGTACGATAGTTAATAAGGAAATGGTTAATATGTTGCCCGGATAAGAAAATGTTCACTGTGGCATCAATACTGTCGTTTCTGAATATACACAGGAGCAAGTAAGATTCGCCACAGAATTTTTAAAACTCTCTAACACCTTTTCATTTTTCTTGATTGAGTAGCCATTTGTAATGAAATTTGTCAGCTGGAGAAGTGAAGTGATTGAAAGTCATAATTTATGTGTTGATCTACGAGTACCTTTCTTAACTGAGATGGCTAACCTTTTGAAATTTTTCGAAACAGGTAGTACCAAGGCATATCAAATAGGTATTAGAGCTAAAACAACATTTATGTGTATTTTGTTGTTGCTTGTCTAATCTAAAGTGTTAAAAACTGTTCTGATTTTGAGTAAAAATTAAATTTGGGGGGAAAAATTGGTGCGACTTTCTTTCTTACGTTGCTTTTCAATCGCTTGTTTTGTATGGGAAAAGGTTCCACATGCAAAAAGATTTTGAAAATTTATATTTTTTTGCGAGAAGAAATTAAAAATATTTGACATTTTAGAGACCGAATAATTTAAAAAAAAAAAATCAAATTAGCTACTCTACTGATACTACCGGTTCAATGTACTTGGGGTAGTACAAAACATTGCAAATAAGCACATTTGACTGTACTTCCCAAGTACGAAGTGCAACGGCTCAAAAAGAAGTACTGTACTTCTTGCGGAAGTATAGTACTTCTTTTTGAGCGTTTGTATTTGATATTTTGTACTTCAGGAGGGAGATTCTGTAACCAGTTAGCGACAATTTTCAAATCATTATCGCCCTTTTTGCCGCAAGATATACATGTTTATGCGTCAAAAAGTGCGATAGCGATTTAAAAATGGTCGCTATCTGGTTACAGAATCCCCGAGGTCTTGCACTTCTCCGATCTTCTGGACGATAGTCACTTGGGCTGGGCGATAAATTCGTTCAAACCATTAAAGGGGCATCATACCTGCGCAGCTGCAAAGGGCTCTGAAGGTGTCGTGCAAGGGGTCCACGGGAAACTCGACCGGGGTCCACGGTGACATGAACAAAATATGGGGGTCCATGAGTTGTAAATGGGGGTCCACGAAAATTTATCTGGTCTCGATGTAAAGAACCAAAATGGTTGCTTGATAGCCTCTTTATTTAACTTTAATTTGTTTGAGTGGTGTATAGTGCTCTTGACGCACTGCTGCACTTACCGTCACCTTGTGTTTTCATACGTGGGGAAGCCTTAAAGGCCACCTGTATACTAAAACGAACCGGATGCTGGTATGACAATGAGTGGGGCGCGGCGAAAACTGCTGGCGGCAGAGATTTAAGCACTTGTGTCTCTTCAATGCTTCAGGATAGTACGCCACCATTATCTTTTTGAAGAGATTCTATAATGTTGAGTTCACTGAGACTGAATGCTGGTTTGATTCCATCGCTGAGACCAGACACACACATTGTCCAATCTTCACTGATGGCTCCTCCGAGTGTATCTGAGGTATTTTAATTAATGGTTTTTTAATGGAGATAACCTTCACTTTTCTGTAGGGGAATATGCTTCGGTCTTCCAGGCTGAGGTAATTGCAATACTCAAAGCCATGGACTACGTGGTGGAACATAGGTGAACAGAAACACCAACAACGAAAATGAGAGCATTGAACAGCCCTCTATTTAGGTATTTCCAAACTAGTTCGGCAATGCAAGTCTCGACTATAATATGATGGTGAACATAACGACGTTGTTTTAATCTGGGTGCCAGGCCACTCAGGAGTACCTGATTATGAGACATCTGATCATTTGGCCAGAGTTGGCTCAGTTTTAGCACTCCCACCTTCGGCAATCGAAGTCAGCATCAGAAACTGGGTGAATACTTCGCTCAGCAAAGACTGAGGTGGTCAAAACTCATGTTGCCTTCAATCTAACAAGGTCTATCTAATTTTTTGCTCACACTGAGCAGACGACACTACAGACAACTTGCTGGACTGCTGACTGGTCACTTCACGTCGCACAAACACCTGACTGTGATAGGCGTGGAACACTTTTTGTGCTTCTTGCTTGCTTGGTTATTTGTCATCGATTTTTTTTAACTCGTTCTTTTCTCTATTGTCAGTTTCTGAATTAAAAGTTTGGCGTAAAAAGCTTAGCCGTTTTGATGTTTTAAGTTTTGTGTTTTAAAAATGTGATAAATATTTTTCGCCTCATTTTATAACTCGGAGCGATAAAAACAAAAATGATGCCATTAATACAAATAAACTATTTTACATATACCCCACGTGCAAAGTCATGAGTGAGCCGGACATTTGATGAGTTTATGGTGAAGATAATGTAAATAACGCTAGCGCCCGCAGTGCTCTTAAAAAATGTAACTCCTCCGAGCGCGAGAGTATTTTGATGTATTTACGAGCTCTATTTTTTAAAACCTACAAGTGTGTAATCACATTATTTTTATAAATAGTACACAAGAAAATATTTTACTTTTATTTTGGCCACTCCGAGTTTAGTCTTTGAATTCACCCGCGATGCAAGTTTACATTGTTAGATCTAATTTTCACATATAATTTTTTTACGAGCTTTGGGAATATTTAGAAATGTTTCAGCACCGAAACCAGTAAATTTTTAAAAAGGGGTCTACGAGAAAAAAGTTTGGGAACCTCTGGCTTAGATGGTAGTCAGTGTTGCGCTCATCTCGAAGGCCGGATAATGCTCTCATGTTTCGCCTCGGGATTTTAGGCCTATCAGTCTCTTCGTTTTTGCTAAAAAAACACGTCAACTTAAGCCAGACGCGAAAATATTCGATTTTTGTATTTTTCTTTTCAGCTGATGGTCACTTGGCCGCCTGAAAGCCACATCAAAAAATTCTTGAACAAAAATATAATACCAATGGACAGTATATTAGGTTACGTAACGTAAATTATGTCTAGACTAACTGAACCTTTAAGTTTGTTACTTTTGTTTACGACTAATAACACTATGTAACAAGGTTTTTGTCCCTGGGTTGTAATTGTTATTTCCTAGTCAGTTAGGTCCCAAAAGTATAGAAAACAGCTATTGTCGCAAGATAACTTTGCTTTTGTGACCATGGCAGCGCTTATCTGCGTTTATTTTTATGCTTGTTTGTTGAAAACTGATACACAAAAGCTCAGTCACAAAAGCAAAGTTTCCGAGGAATATTAGGTGGTTTCCATACTTTTAAGGCATAACAGACTAGGAAATAACAATTACATCCCAAGGACTGAGAAATTTTTTTTTTTTGTTACTTAGTGTAATCCGATTTCATGGCATAAGTCTACTTTAAACTTTTGGAAAAAGTTATTTGTTTGATTTCAAACCCAAATGGTTTTATGAAGGCAGATGGTATTGAAACTGTTTTTAACTATCGCACTGAACAACCAAAAAGAAACTGTATATGTACATTACAGCGTACCAGAAAAAAACATCGAATGTAAAGAATTTGGCGGCCGCTGTGGTGTAGGGTTAGCAGTGCACGCTCCCGCTCCGAGGGGCCTGGGTTCAAGCCCGGTTCAACCCAACATCAAAAAATAAATAAAAAACAAAAAGATTTTTTTCCAACAGCGGTCAAAACGCTCCTCCGCAAACCTCCGAGTGTATTTCTGCCATGAAAAACAGCTTCTCATAAAAATACAACCAACGCTCGGAGTCGGCGTAAAACTCGAGGTCCCTCTCCTTTGTGCGACAACATCCAGGCGCACGCCACAAATCGGATAAGCTCGGCCACACTTTATTATAATTAAAGTATTTCTGCAAGGCAGTTCCGTAAAGAATCTTACGAGTATGATATGCATACATATGTATCTATGTTCTTGTCTTCAGGGGAAAATTTTTTTCCACACTTCATTGGCCTCAAGTACCCCTTTCTATTAGGTCGGTGTTATGCAGAAATTTTGTTTTGCAAACTACGTGCAATTGTTGTCGGAGCAAACTCGGAGAAAGCGAGTTTGGCGACTCTTATAGCAAACAAAATTTGTTGGGCCAAACTGCTGTAAAATTAGTGCTGTCATATACAAAAATTGTAGGTAATCGTTGTTCTACACAAAAAATTGCAGTGATAACAAAAGACAGAGAACTGAATTTATGCCATAAGCTTCAAAGCTTAGGGCACAGTTAATTGCCTATACAATAGGTGCAATCCCGTATTCCTCGGACTCGGACTAGTAAAATTCGCTCAGAGCGAGGGAGTAACATTGAAAAGTACGGGATCGCTTTCTAGTAAAAAATGGTAACTTCTGTCAACTTCAACATACAGCTACAGCTGATCGTTTGACACATTTACCAGAATATACCAGCAAAAAATTCTCGGACTAAAACTGGTAACTTCTGACAAAGAGAGAACCGTATTTACTCTCTTTTTTGTCCTCTCAATAGTCAGAGAACCGAGTACGGGATCGATTTCCAGTAAAATCTGACTGATTCTGACTATTTCTGACTAATCCGGACTCGTACGGGAACGCAACTAATATTGTACAAAAATATCAATTTTTGCATGATAAAGTTTTTCATTAATCGGGCCTTTGGAGTCGTTTTATATACAATTTGGATTTGGTCCATTTAGCTATTGAAAAAATGTGGATTGGAAGCATATTTTTTCACTAGGAAGTTTTAATAAAAAGTTTTTCAATTAAATAAAAACAGAAAAAAAGAAATTAGGTATTTTTCGCTGCTAATTTTAGTATTCTTTGGAATCATCATCACCTTGCGTATCGATGAGATTTATTTCGATTCAAATTGAACCAAAAAAAAAACTTTCCCACCTTTTCCGAGATTGATTGAGTATTAGACATTATTTTTTTATTGTGATTCATATCGATCCAAACACGAATCTCTTTCCCACCCATCGATGTTAACGCCGATTTCTTATTATCGATATTTTTGATAGATCGACTATTTATATTTCCACATCGATAGTTTTATTTCGATTTAAACCAATCAAAAATCGATTTTCATTTACGATATTTGTATTCCTTAATTAGAGTTGAACCGACCATTTTAATAATTATTATTTTTATTAATTTTTAACGATATATTTTATTTAGATTTAAATCGACGAAAAATAGATTTTTGAAAAGATCGGTAATTCTTTCTTTCGTTTCCTTTTGATAATAAATTTTTTTTTGCGATCGTTTCTAATTTCGATTAAAATATATATATTCAAGAATGGGGTTTTTTCAAGTTCTATAATTGATATGTGTTTGAGGAATTTTTTGGCCTGACATCGATATTTTTGGGAAATCGATTATTTTTGATCATCGCATTTGTTGGCGATCCTTTTTTTTCACATAAAATCAAATGGATGCAATTATTTTCAACTTGTGAGCTCTAGCACTAATTGATATTTACGCCTCTTTAATGTCACTAATGTATTCATATCATGTCACTAGTTTAGAGTTAAAAGTTGCTAAGTCTAATTTTTCTAAAAAAATTATTTTTGATGCCAGAAGCAAGGCAATTAAAGATGCATTGTTTTCTAAAACGATGAACTAAAATAAGACGAATTTCTAGCCATTTCTATTCAGTGATGAGCAAATCTACTAAATCCAAAACAGTCCCAGAAAAGGTGATGAGTCCAAAAGAATACAAGCAGTTATTAGCGAATTGGTGGAGTTTCATTCGTTTGGAGTTGTTTTTGCTTGGAGTACGCGAAAACTTGTATTAAAATTTTACTGAAACAAGTGCTTGAAAAAAATTCGTTTTATTTTCTCAAATTAAAATAAAACAAACTGGACTTAGCAACTTTTCACTTTAAGCTAGCGAGACGTACTTTGTTCTCTCTCATTTTGTTGAGTGCACTAATACTCAAGGATTAATTTGAATTACTAACTAATGCAGTTAAAATCGACTTAAAAAAATGAATGCTCTGAGGCATCCTTGTGCATTTGAAGGTCTAACTTGCAAGCGTCTAGCGTCAAAAAACACTAAGTAGACTTACCCGATGAAGTAGATTCCTTCTCTTTTGTTGTAGCCTTCTCAGCCTCCTTGCGCTTGCGGCCACGCTTCGTTGTACTACCATAGTCGACATCTTCGTCATGTTGCATAAAATCACTATCATCGTCGCTGTCATTCTTCCTACGCTTCTTCTTCTTGCGACCTTTCTCTTCACCCTTTTTGGTTTTACGTTTCTTGCCCTTCTTCTTTTTGCGACTATCATCGGGATCATAATCATCGTCTTCATCATTCTGTAAATGAAAAAGAAGAGAAGAGTATGTATTTTATTTATATAATTTGTTACAATATTTGCTGTTTGTTTTTTTTTTTTATAAAAAAAATGTATTTATTACTCACGTTCGGTTTCAATGGTGCATCGGAATCATTTGATAATTCAGCTACTTGTGCAGACTCATCGAGTGCTTCTTCTTCTTCTATAGAATATATAGATGTAGTAAAAAAACGTTAAAAATCAATACAAATTACGGATAAGCGTTGCGAGATAAAATCAAATTAGAAGTTTTGTGGTCTCGTGCTTGGCGATGTCTTAAATTATATTCTCTTGCAGTGGCGGCGTTTTAATTTCGGTTTCATTTTGTGGAGCTATCTGCAGTTCTCACAAGAAACGTTTTTGATTATTTCCTGTTTGAGAAAGAACTTTGCTGTTGCTGTAAATTTTCTTGAAGAAATAAATATATGCACATTTTTTTTTGGGAGCTCCATACTGATTAAAGAAATTGTGATAAAATAAAATTTCTTTTCCATTGCTTGCGAGTCATTTTATATGAACTTTTCTTCATTTTTATTGAGAGCTGCAGACAGCCCTTGTAATAAAAAAATAAAAAATGTGGACAACTGAAATATGGCAGAGCTTAAATCGACGCCTCCAAACCACACTACGCTAAGTCTGACTACGTCTAAGTTGACTTGGCATGGTATGGTTTGGAGGCGTCGTCGAATTACTTCCAAAGTGTTCGAATAAAAACGTTGTGATTTTTCGTAGATGCTTACCTTAACTAGCCAAACTTGGGCTTGTTCGAGTTGCAATCACAACCGCAGTGTTGCGCCTATTATTAAAGTATCACGTTCTGCGTGAATTTCTAGCAATGTATTATTAGTTGGGCCGTTGCAACAATGTTGCCATTTTTCATCAGTACGGCAGTAATTCCGATTTTATTACGTGCCTCGGACAGGCCCCTTTTTATGCCGGTTTTCACTAGGAAGTGTACCACAAATTTCATTTTTCGTCACTGAAAAGTCTAGTAGAAACTCGGCAAAAGTCAGTGGAAACTCGTTGATTGAAGATACAATCTACTGAAGTACGTGTATAATTTCCGTGTGTTTGACAATAAAACAATACGATTTTTTTTTTCAAATTATATTTATATTTTTTGTAATTTTTTCTTAAATGTTTGTGTTGTTTGTTTTGTTTTGTTTTTTTTTTCGTCAGTTTCCTTTGCATTTCCATTTTACATACTAAGAATATAACAATATCTTTTTTTTTCAATTGATTTTTTGCTGGTTTTGTCAGCAGTTCTGCACTTAATATTTTATGTATAGTATATGTGTATGTATATATTTATATAATATGTATATATTAATTGTTTATGCAATGAATTTCTATAATCATGACCTCGTCGTATAGAATCATAATTGCAATCAGCGTCGTCATTGTCATTATCATTTATATATTAAATTTTTCTTTTAGTTATCCAAAATTACGTGTTTGTAGGTACTACTATACTAAATAATAATAATTATATGTAATTTATCAAGTGTGTTGTGGTTTTTGTTTTCAGTGTTAGTTTTTGCTTAATGTGCATAAAAAGAATCAAGTTCTGCTATTACCATTACCATTTCCGTTTTTTTAGAATTTTGCTGTTTTTTTTTGTTATACATTTTTGGAGCGAATTCGAAAATGTTCAGGTGACAACATAAAATAATATTATATATTTCATTTTAGTTATTTTTATTTTACAAATTAATTTCTGTTTGTTTTCAAATGTAAGCACGCTAAATTAATCTCGATTAGTATAAAAACAAAAGTTATATACAAATACTTGATTTGCTGAAACAGTTTTGAGAAATTTTCAAAATTTTTAAAACAGTTATTAATAACTGCTACCTGTTAATATGTATAAACAAAAAATATGAAACTTAACTTTAATAAGTGCACACACATTTTTTCGTCGTGTAGTCACGTCAACATTAAAAACAAAAACGTAGTTTAAATATTGAATTTTTTGTTTGCTTAACGCTTAATGCATACTTCAATCTTTTTTTCCTTATTTCTTTAATATTTTCTACTTTTTATTTATATAAAATTTTGTAACTTCTTAATATACAATATATTCTTAGTAAGTTTTGTATAACAAAATAAAAACGTATAGCAAAAATTAGTTCGAATGAGTTTTCAGTTATCAAAAAAAAAACTCAAACCAGATGAACATTCGCAGCGCTAGGAAGATTGAAATACATGCGTACATAAATTTTTATTACTATACCTATAGTTGTTGTTTTTGCATGGATCAGAACATTACGAGCCCTAACCGCCAAAAAGATGTAAGCGACATTTTTTCAACATTTTATTTTTGACGCAGAAATGCATCAGATGCTCTAGGAACATTTCTGCATTAAACAGAAAATTTTGAAAAGAATTTCGCTCACATCTTTTTGGCGGTTAGCGCTCGATTAATATGCCGCGTAGCTGCCAAGTCTGAAATTAACTATGTATTTTCTCGATATTTTTCAATTTGATTTATGTATGTAGCTCTGGCACATTTTGAATGTTTGCAACGCATTATGAACAAAAAAATTAAAAATATTTAAATAAATTAAGGCGCTGACCCAATGCAGGCTTGCTTTGCACGCCTTACTTTAATTTGCTTTGATTTACTTCAAAAACTCGTCTGGCCAAATGCGGCTTGGAACGCTGTCAAAGCTACCAGCTGTGTAGTTAAAAAATTAAGGTCTGTTCCCTTACACTAAGAATAATTTTCCCACAAAATTCCAGAAAACTAAAAAAAAATACAAGCAATCTTTTCAGATTTATTTTTAAATTGATGCGAACTAATTTTTGCATTTCAAAGGAATGATAGTAATTATACATATATAGCTATAGGTACATTTATTAAAAACAAAAAAAAAACAATTTTTCAAGAGACGACTGACCAGTAGTTTGACATCATAAATATCGCTAGCTTTGAGTGAAAAGTTGCTAAGTCCACAATTTGTGAAACCTCATGATATAGGAAGCAAGAGAAATTAAGGATTAAGGTACTTGTTTCATTTTTTTCATTTATATTCAATGGAAGGCAAATTTTCTAAGTCCAGAAGAGGCCCCGAAAATCCGATAAGGCCAAAATAATACGAAATATTTTAATAAAGATCGAATCCTTTTGATTAGTATGGAGTTTTGCTTTGCTTTAAACACGCAAAATGTTGTATTCAAAGTTCCTGTAAAATTTGTAAAAATGGACTCAGCAACTTTTCAGCCAGCGATATGTTAAATATAAATATGGAAACATATAATCATTTTTATTAAACTTTGAATTACTCATATTATATATATTTTTTTTAATTACGTAAGCAAATTTTTGTTCATAAAAGAGCGCAGCAGTTTGAATTCATTTAGAACGGGAACATACCTTTTTTCAAAGCGCTTTCAAATAAAACATTTGCCTATTTGAAACTTTGAGGCGCTTAAAGCAAGTGAAGCAAAGCTGCCATTTGGCCAGCCTTCATACGTTTTAGTATATTCGAAATAACTTTTGACAGTTCTCAATGCGAGGCAAGCAAAGCAAGCCTGCATTGGGCCAATACCTTTAGGCTTCAAAAAAAAAAAATTATAAGGTAAAAGGGTTTTTTTTAAGAAATTCAACGCGGTTAAAAAAAAGTATTTTCTGAAAATTGTTTGAAATTCTTTTAAGTAAAATTAAAAAATATATATATTTTTGAAATGTATATCAATTTTTAATAAAAAAAATTTCTAGTAGTTAGTATTCACATTGAAAAAGCATGAAAAAGTAAAATAAAATTATAAATTCACATATCACACACTCTTCTCAAACGAGGCACAACTCAAATATCAGATCCGCATATATGTACATATAACTGCCTGTGGATCGTACAGATTCAACGCAATTAATCAGGGCTGGCTATCACTGAATCCATCGTAGTCCGGTTTTTCATGAAATCTATGAAAATGCTATCACTGAATTCGAATAGCTAAGAACGTAGCATATACTTTGAATGGAAGTGTTCGCAGAAATTCGGATTCAGTGATTGCATTTTCTTGAGATTTCACGAAAATCGGAATACGGTGGATTGTGATGGCCTTCGGGGCCAACAAAAACATTATTATTATTTATTATAGAGAATCATGTCGAGTGCAAGTCGTTGTTTTTAGAGTCGAGCCCTATCGAAAACTGTATGGCATTGCCTAAAACTTCGACGCGAATAAAATATTTCCATTAATTGGAGATAAACCCAATCGATTTATGCAAAAAAAAAACGGCTTAAATTTTGTTTGGGTTGTGCCTTTTTTGAAGAGGGTGTTCCATATGAGAAGGATAACGTTTTTTGACCAATTTTTACATTGGTTATGAAAGAGCTATGTATGTATTTAAACGATGTTTAGTTTAAGTTTATGAAATTTAATTTTAGCAAACTTTTACCAATTTGTAATACATTTTTAGTTTTTATTTATTTGGTTAAATTTTTTTTTATATCTTTCTGCTGTCATAAATTTGCCGATTAAACTTAAACCAGATTTCCACTGAGTATTGAAATGACAAAAAAATGTATGAGCTGAGCATTAAAAAATGCGTTTCATTAAATACCTAGTGAAAATACGGCCTTATAGATTTTTAAAGAGTTTTAGCGAAGACTTAATTGACTACCAAAATTTTAACTGGCTATTGGCACTTCATGCTACAGTGTGCATATTATTTTAAACAATTTACAAAAGCAACAAATTGGGTAGAATAAAAACCAAGATAGAATGTGTGGTGATTTCCGAAACTGAAAAAAAACCCCATAGTCGAAGATTTTTTCTTCGACATTTTGATAGTTTAGTCAAAGTTCCGAGACTTTCAGGCACTTTCCTAGCTTAAAGTAATAATAACCTCCAGAAGTTTTTGGAGGCGTTTGCAGCATACAATTCTTGGAGACTTATCACTGTGTCAAAAAAATACATAAAAAATAAAAATAAATAAATTACTTTATATAAGAATAACAAAAAATAAAAACCAGTACACTTTCATAATTTTTTTTTTTACACAAATTGCACAATACGCATTTTATTTTTTAACTACATACATATTTATAAATAAAAAGTTTTATAGAAAAATTTATAAATGTGCGAGAAAATAGGCAAAATGCAGTTACTTAATAAAAATAAGAGCAATAAAATATACTACAAGGCATAACTCCAAGATTTTTGTTAAAGCAGCAAAATTTTTTAGTCTACGTACACTCTTATTGCTGTAACTATATGGGTATTTCCAATCTGGAGTTACGTGACAATTGTATGAAAATTTTTTTAAAAAAGTCAAAACTTGAAAAAGGTTTTCCTAGATTTGCATAGCAATTAAATGACCCCTTACCCTTATTCAGTAAAATTATTACAACCGTTGGTAATAGCGATTTAAAGAGGAACACATAAAGATAACCAACCGTTCAGCTATGGGAAAACTAAAACTGCAGACCGATAGTACTTTTAACGCTGATTTCAACTATATAAATATTATTTGGCGCAATTGAAAAGTAAAGAAGATATAAAACGAGGTAAAACATTTTTTTCGAATACTAATATTTTCTAAAAAAAGTAATGATGCCAAAATAAAGACAAATAATCTATCTTCAAGTTGATATATAAAATGTGTAAGCTTGTTTATATATTTAAGCTAAAAATATTAAAAAACAAATAAAATGTTATAATTTTTTCATAAAATAACCTTTTTTAGTAAAAAGTGGGCTATCAATGCTACAGAAATATATATTATTTAGAAAGTTCTTACCTTTAATTTGATACACATATTTTATTATGATCTGCTTTTGAGGTACGTAGTTTAGAAAATATTAATATTTTAAAATATCACAACTTTTTTTTTAACCTCCTATATATTCTTTACTTTTCAATTGCGCCAAATAATATTTATATTGTTGAAATCAGCGTAAAAAGTACTATCGATCTGCATTTTTAGTTTTTCCATAGCTGAACGGTTGGTTATCTTGATATGCGCCTTTAAAGTTAGGAAGTGGACTTTGACTTAGGTTGAAAAATTGCAAAACTCTGCGAATTGGGCAAGACTATTTGTATAAAAGTTTTTGTAGTAATATCAGGCGTGACGTTACGTTACTAAAATTACCGTTTTGATAATATTGTTCTTGAAAGAATTTTTGACGGGAAGAATATACTTTTTATTTTGACATCACCGCCACCAGCGGTTCTATTTTTTTTTTGGAAATCTATGTCTTTCTATATTTCAATTAACTTCCCAAATGTGAAACAAATCAGAGCATAAATACGGGGTTTTCAAAATATCTCGACAATAGTGCCACCTAACGAGACCTGCTTACATAACCCGTATATATTATAAAAAGCAGCCAAATCGGCCTATAAATATATTTTTTTTCCTCTGGAAGTGCTCACATATGCTCCGGCGTTGTGGAGCGTTAGTTTTTGGCTTGTCTCTTTTATTTTTCCATCAGCGTAACGCTGCTGTGAACAGGAAGAAAACATAATTTAATGCAAATTTCTTTATCGATATATCTCTCAATGCACATTCCACTAATATTTTGACCGCTTTTCGGTGAAGTGAAGTTTTGTGGTATCTTGGCAGCGAAAAGTTTCGCTCCGCCCCGCTGAGTGCGAACACCTGTATCACAGCACAGCTTCGCTCGGAACAGCTCGCGCTCCATGCACTTAACGAGTGTGTGCAAAACGTGTGTGTATGTTATGTAAAAATTGTATATATTTTTTGTTTACTTTTATATTTTTAATTTAATGATTTAATAATTTTTACAAGCAAAACACGTAGTAGGTTTAATTGAGCTCATTGCGTATATGCAGTTTTTTATAATCTAATAGCGTTTTCTTTTCTGTCGAAAAATGTAATTGCCTTCTTCGCACAAATACTAAGGAGAGGCAATAAAAAGGCTACATGTACATATATACATAATATATTTTTAATTTTTGCCTGCGCTTAATTAATTTTAGTCATCATTGTGGGAAAGAACACAGGTTGGTTTTCACGGATGGTACACCGTGAGAAAAAATTCTACCTAAGCAGCATGAAGTTTTAAACCAATTTTCGCGCATTTCACCCACCCACCCTCTGTGAAAATGTAAAAAAAAAAAACATAATTGTGAAAATAAAAAAAACTATTTCATACCAAATTTAACTGAATATTTTGAGTTTTATTTTATTTTATTTTTTTAATAACTTCAAGTTCAACAATGCTTGTAAATTAATTAACTATTACAGCTGAGCCCTCCCACACAAAAAACGGTTGCGTTGCAATAGCATTTCCAAAATTTTATGTACTGTACATGTATGTATGTATATAGTAATGCATGTAAGACGGCAATCAAAGCATTAAAATTAAAACAAATATAGGCAGTTGCCGCTTAATTCTAATTATTACACAATTAATTCTTTGCTTAAAATTTCTGCTTGCTCTAGTGTTTTTTCTCTTTCTTCCTCAATTGTTTTAAAAATATATATGCATGTATGTATATATATGGTTTTAATATTTAAATGTAAGTGTGTTTATATAAGGTATACATATGCGTTTTTTAATAACAATAAAATTTTTTTTTGAGGATTTTGTTTTTTTTTTTTCACTGCACTTTCCAATTCACATTTTTTTAACATTCCTACCCTCGCGTGCAATACAAAATTCCTAACTCTAAAGTGATTTTGCAACCAGCACGTATTTAAAACCGTTGGCAACTTCCGGTTGCGATTGCTACAACCGAAAAATCATATTTACAAAAATAAACTAGTACATACATATATTTGCAGGGCTATCTTTTTTCAACTCTTGCGGCGGCTGCTTAATTCATACAATGAAAGACATTTTCGCAATTAAAAACCACAAACTGAGTTCATTCATTAGGAAGCTAGGCTCGCATGTGAATGTAAGACATAGAAAAAAAGGCGATAATCAGCAAGTTCCTAAATACGTCTCGGTTGCAAACTAATTCTCAGGATGTCTCCTTTGTGTCTTATGCCCTTTTTACATACAGCGGCGAAGCGAAATTTCGCTACAGCATGTGCACAAAAATCAATACCGCTCATGATCATGTTCGCCATCGCCTTCATCATTCGAATTGGAATCAGAGCCATCATCAACGTCGTCGTCATCGTTCGAATCATCATCGTCATTAGAGTCATCGTCGTCATCATCATTGGAATCCGACGAATCATCTGAATCTGTATCATTTTTATTGTTGTTGTTGCGTTGCTGATGTCTCGCTACATTCTTTTCATCAACTGGCAAATGCTTGGACTGGTGCTGCTGATTACCATGGAATTGTTCCTGTTGTAGCTGAGGTTGCTGTATGCTATATTGGCCACCAGCAGGCGATTGGTGTGGCGACGACAAATATTGATGTTGCTGTGTGTGTTGTTGTACATTACTGTGTGAGTGGTGCTTCTTCTTTCTATACACCACAGTTTCTTCAAGTAGTGGCGTATATTGCTGCTGGTTCTGCTGCTGCTGATGTACATGTTGATGACTTGGCTGTTGTTGTTGCAGCGGCGGCTGCCGATGCTGCGCATAGTGTTGCGCTTCTTGCTGATAACCGCCAGGAGGTGAATGATTACTTTCACCACCACTCACCATTGGCGAGACGCGTGCGTTATGCGCAGTCGCCGCGGCCAATACATTGCTCCTACCATCGACTAGATGCGATGTCGCATCTGCGGCCAAATGCATTGCTGCCGTTGCCGAAGCATGCTGCTGTTCCTGCTCTTGTTGTTGTGGATGTTGCTGTTGTGCCGCAGCCGCTGCTGCTGCGGCTGCCGCCGCTGCCGCCATCGAAGTCAACGTCTTATCATAGTCGGTCACAAGCTGTTTAATGTGCGCCAATTTGGCATGCAAGTAATCGAAACGCTGCTTGTCGCGTTTCAGCTCTTCCTCGTTGTTGATGCGCTCATATTCGGCCACAATTTGCTGCTTAATGTGCTCATAGTCAGAGCAGCCTTGTGGCGCACGTTGCAATTGATCGGCAAGTACCTGGAAGTTGCGGCGCACATCTTCGATGCGCTCCAACAATTGACGATACTCATCGTAATCCCGTTCAAATTCAGTCTTGTATTGGCGTCGCTGTTCGATGCTTGTGATAGCCGTATAATTGCTAAAGTCATAGCTTGGCGTTTCAGCAGCGGCGTCTGTGTCAACTGTATCGTGTGTGATGGCGGAGTGCTGCGGCATTGTTGTCGGCATTTCCGTTGGACTTTCAAACTGTGTTGGCTGCTGTTGTTGTGGCGGCTGCTGATGAGAAGGATAATGGGGTGGTTGGTTGTTATGCCGTTGCACTGGGGAGTATGTGCTGGCGGAATGCGTCGTTTGTTGCGATTGGTAATGTGGTGCCTGGTGTTGCAGCGCATGCCGTTGTTGTTCCTGAACTGGTGAAGTGGGCGTGCGCATGCCACCGGTGCGTTGCTGCTGTCTACTACCGGTTGTCGCTGTTGACACCGCCGCCGCCGCAGAGCGTGACGTTGCTTGTGCTCGATTGCTGCTGCCGTTTCTCCCCGTTGGCACATAATCCTCACGCTCATTGAAACCGCTGTGCGTGGCTGTGTGCATTTTTGGTGAGTATATGACACTATTATTTGACTTTTGTTGCAGCTGCGGCTGCTGTTGCTGTTGCAGGTAACTGGGCGACTGGTGACGGTAATTCCCACTTCCACTGCGATTGTTGCTGCCGCTGCTGACATCGCGCCCAGCCGACCTGCCGCTGCTAGTGCTACTGCTAGACTCTGGAACAAAATTGGCACCATATGGCAGCCCACTTTTTGGCGAGCTTGCTAAAGCCGCACGCTTCAGTCCATGTTTCATACTGCTACTTTTGCTGCCTTCGTTTTCTTGTACACTATAAATGTTGCTGCCGCTGTTATTGCTGTTTTTGGGCGAAATGTTCGTACCACTAGATGAACCGCTGCTGCCTCCAGAGTGTCGATTTTCTTTCGGGTTGTTACCAGCTGACTTACCGCTGCCGCTGCTGTTTGATTTTCGCATTCCGCCACTTCCGCTGCTATGTGGCAGATAACTACTACCTTGCTGCTGCTCTATATTCAACATAAAGTCGTCCATATTGTTGAGCACGTTGTAGCTTAGATCAGAATTGCCAGAGTTCTCATCAGCATGCCCAGCACTACGGGCGCCTTGTGGAGAATAGGTTGACGCAGATGTAGCATGTTTGCTGCGCTGCATAGGATAGCCAGTGTTTGCCCCACTGCTGCTGCTGCTGGCGCCCATTACAGCATAGGCAGCACCCCGCGACCCATTACTCGGCGCACCGCCGATACTTGTGCTCCCCGCCGCATTAGCGGTGTTGGCAGCAGCTATTGCGTCCTTCTTAAAATGACTAATACGTTGCTTCTTCGGCTGACCTGCGCTCACGAATGGCTCATCGTACTCCAGACTAGTGCGTTTCAAACTATTGCCGCCGCTCAAGCCACTACCACCGCCCAGTGGTGGAGGACTGCCGGTATGTATTGACGTTGGACTTTGACCCGACGTTGAGCTGCCCGCGTCTGAACTGAGCGGCGGTGTTAGATTTTGCGGCTTCCGGCGTTTCAATTGCTGCAACTCCTGTTCCGTATAGTATGGCCAATTCTCGTTCACATCATTCCACATTTGACGACGTAAGTTGTAGGTGTTGTCGCGAGACAGCGTCGCAATGTCCTTGAGTATATTGCTAATCAGTGAACGCTCCCGATCACGCAGTCCTTCGTTTTGGAGACGTGAATATAATTCAGGCTTCTTGAATGGCCGCAAGGCAAGTAAATGTATTAGCCGTTCGCGTATTTTTCGACGCGATATATCAGGTAACTTGCCACCACCACTATTGGTATTTGAAGTACCACCACCTTTGGCGCCGCCACCGCCCGACTTCGGGCCGCCCCCACCACCCCGTGAGAAATTGCCACCATTGCCGCCAGCAGCATTATTGCTAAGTCTTGACTGCTTACCGCTGCCGCCGCTACTACCAGCTAATGTAGATGTGGCGGTCTCGGGTGGTGAATTGTGTTGTGCAGCGGACGCATAGCCGTTAGCGATGCCGCCGGCCAGGGTGGAAGAGAGCGATGAAGCGGACGTTAGTGATGGCAGCGATGGTGAGACGTTGCTTTGAGAATAAATATTGCTTGTACCGCTGCTGCCATAACGGTTAATAGCGCTGCTGGTATTACCGCTACCACTGGCAACTGTGCCGGACCCACCCAATAACGTGGGGTTGGGCGAGCGTGAAGACGAGGAGCACGAGGAAAACGTTGTGCCGCCAAGTTTGTTATTTAACGATGACGAATGTTGTGTGGCGGCTGGCGGCGAATTACTGTTCAGCGATGATACTAATTTACTACGACTAAGACTACTTAAATAATTACTACTGCTACTACTGTTGTTATTGTTGCTGTTGCTGTTGCTATTTCCACTATGCCCCAAATGCTGATAGATGGCCGACGAAGGTACAGACTTCTTCACCTTACGTCCAATGTCTGTTTGATTTGGTTTAATTTCACGTATACACTTGCTCTTCTCCGTCTCTTCGGCAATTGCCATTTTGGTACGGGTCGTGTCATAGATATCATCGTTGGCATGTATACGCATGCGATATGGTATTGAGCCGAGTACATCGAGACCTTCAGACGTCTGTTGTATGCACTCAAGGGAGCCCTCAACATCATCGATAGTAAAACCAAATTTACGGCCTTCATTGCTATCCAATGTGGGAAAAAAGATGACACCGGAGTTGCCATTGACTTGAATTTTGGCACGTTGACCATTTGTGAAACGTTTGGTATTCTCATTGTGTTGATATTCCTCGATGGCGCGATATGCGGAATCGGTGAGTTTGACAAAGATATATTCCTTAGATTCATCGGTGTAACGGTTTTGTGACATGCCATAATTGCCGGACGTGAGTGCAGATGGGCATTTTGCAGTGGCGATCGAATGTGTCATAACGCAATACAAACAAACTGCGTGGAAGCTGGGTGGCGGTGGTGTGTTCGATTGTTAATTCAACAATAATACAATTGATGAAACTCACTCGCTTTGTACACACGTCGTAAAATCAAACAAACAAGAAGGAATAAAACGATTTTTATAGAGTTATCGTAAAACGAAATTCTTTAAAAATTTTATCAAATTAGGAATGCTGAACGTAAAATGGAGTTTGACGTTTGAGGATCAAGTCAAACGGAAAACACAATAGTTAAAAGGCTTTACCGATATGTTAACTTTCAAATAGCGCCGATGCCTTCAAACTACGTCTGCTAAGTAGTGCTCGCTGGTTGTTACGTGGCGGTTTCGTTTACGTCTGTGGAAGTCCTTTCGTTTGTTCGAGATTTTTAATGGGTTTTATTTTTGTTTTTATTTTTAGGAAGCATCAACCGTGGAAGAGTTGTTGTTATTGGCCACTATAGTAGTTTTTGTTTTCAACAATATTATAACTCTTAGGACATGTGGTTAGTACTAGAATTTTCCTTTTCAATGTTTGAAGATGTGTTTACTTTGATTATTGTTGTAAAAATTTCTTAATACAGTTCTTTGTATAAGTACTATGGTTGTGTTGTTTGCCTATTGGAACTTTTACGAGTATCAAGTTAAATATTGCAGTGCAGTGTACTTAGGAATCAGCAATCCGACGACGTGTCTGATGTAAACTAATTTTCAGTTTCGTTTACAAGGAAAATCGTTTCGCTTGAAAATTCTCTTAATTAGTTCTTAGGGGGTTTTTGTGCTTGAGTTGGTAGCTGTTTGTAGTATTTTACAGCGATACTGCTGATTTTTGAGTCGTAGCTATTACGCTGCTTTGTTGCTTGCGCTGGTAGGGTGCTGAGTTGTTGTGTTGCTTTGTTGTTTTAATATTTTAATTTAAGATAGTTAGTAACTTTTTTACTAATCAATAATTTTTTAGTCTTTGTCTTTATGTTTTATTCACTTCCGTATCCACTGTAGATGATTACGCGTGATCATTGGTTGGTAATACGCTTATGATTGCGGCGGAGTGAATGGTTTATTGACGGAACTTAGTCGTATGCAATTCTATGCTTTTGATTTGCTGTTTTAATTTTACTAATTTTTCCTCTTATATGGTATATCTTATATGCTTTTAGATTCTATAAAGCAAAAGTGCGACGAATAATTTGCCTTATTTTTTGTCAATTAATTCGACGACAGTGGATCGCCTTCTGTTAATGTGTGCGTGCGTGTACGCGATGTGCAATACAAAATTAACAAAGCCACAAGCACCACGGCTGCTGGTGCTGTGTGCCTGCTGATCTGTTTACTGTCTATATCAGGGGGGCTTTTTCGCAGTTGCCGTCACTGTCTTATATGGCCTATTTGTGTATGGGTTATGCCCTTGTTGACTGGCTGTTGCTCACCGTCGTTTGACGTGATAGTTTTTTAATGTTCTTTTATTTTATTTTATTTTTTGCACGGGTAATATGTGTAGTTATAATGACACGTTTATTCCACTCGTAGTTTTGGGTATGTTCTCCATACAAATGAATATAGTTACATATGTTTCTGTTATTAAATAATAATGAATTTATTTAATTAGGTTAAGGTAGACATGGAATTAGCTGCTGCTACGGCTGCTATATTTTCTATTTCTTTTTTATATTTGTGTAATGGTATTGGCTATTGTTATTCTTGTGATTATATTAATGGTAGGTTTCGTTGTTGTTGTTGTTGTTGCTGCTGTTGTGGTGTGAATTCACGTGTTGTTTTTGTTGGTATTTAGTGCCACCACTGTTGCTGCTATGGTCTCTACTAATATAATAGCTATAGCTAGTACTATGGCTACGATTGCTACTGTTGCTGCTGCTACTACGGCTGATGAAAGTACGAACAGTTGTGGTATCTGCAAGATACTTTGTACGTATCTCCATTTGTCAATGACTACATTTGGTGTGGCAAAGCGAGACAACAATATATGTTCGCTGATTTTGCCGTTGCCGTTGTCGAAGTCAGTGTTTTCGCTTGGTCAATGTATATATATTATATATATATATATATATACATATATGCCTGGCTAGTTTTATATATATGTATATAAGCACTACAGTGGTGGTGTCCCTTGCGACGTTGTCTTTGAATTTCAGCTGCTGTTGTTGTTCTTGTTGGTTTTGCTAAAAATCATCTGTGTATGGTTTTTATATATTTAATTCAATATGCACACACTTGTAGAATGTCAAAATGAAAGAAAAAATCCAACAAAAACAAAAGCGCTGCGTTTTTCGCTTCTTCTTCTACTATTTTTCCTGTTGTTTTTGTCAACGTTTCATTTTAATATAAGCGGAATTTTTGCTCGTTTCTACAAGTTATTTGTTGTTGTTTCTACTCTTGTTGCTCTGGGGATCGTGTGGTTTCAATGGTTTCTGACTGTGGGTTTTTTTTTGCTTCTTTTGCTCTTTTCGAAATACTTTTCATGAATCTACAGCATTTACTACTGCTTTAGTTTTTGATTTCAAACTCACTTTAAATTCTTGTTTCTGCAAAATTTTGATCAACTTCAACGCACAATCTAGGTTTCTTCTTTTCTTTTGTCGTTACACTTTTTCTTCTTCACGCACTTAGTTCATATGACTGCATATATGTATGTATGTATGTATCATTTATATATTACGACGATGATTTGTACAATTTTCGCTATGTGTTTTCAGCGTGAATTTTTCTTCGACTTTTAAAAAACTAAATAACTTTACTGCTCGATCGATCACACTTAAATCACTCTCTCCACTTGATTATGTGTGGTACGCGACGCAAACATATATAGTATATGTTAATTTAAGTTCATTTTAAATTAAAGGTATCTTTATCGACGTCCGAAAGGTATCTGTGAAACGAAATCGAAACGAGTTGTTTTCAAGCGGTTGCTTGACTGGCTGGCTGGTTGGCTATTTGGTTAGGTAGTGCTGCCTTGCTTTGCCTTGCTTTTGTCGTTGTTGTTGTGCTCGTGTTGCTGCTACTGCTACTTTAATTTCAGTTTAGTACGTGCTTTGTATCATTTGTTGTTGCTGCCTGACTGCTTATGCGTTGCTGTGACTATTGTTGTTGTTTGTTTTTTATTGACATATCAGCACAAAGTCGAACGAAACAAGTTTGCAATTTGTACTCTTCTCTCGTGCTCTCTTTGTGGTGACTCTTGAATAGTTTTTTTTTTTCTGAGAGGCAATCACTCTCCGACCTTTTACACTCAATTAATCACGATCTCTCTGCAACTCCCTCGCTCTGTTTGCCGTTCGCTCTTCTTTTTTGCAGGCACTTACTTTTTTCTATATTGAGCGTTAAAAAATACGCTAAATAATTGCACCCAAATCAAGCAACTTAAAACAAAAGAAAATTTTATAGCTTTGCTTTGCTTTTCAAATAATTGATGAACCGTTTGGAAGAGAATTTTCTATATGCGGACACAGATAGCAAAACCGTGTTTTTCGTTGTTGTTAAGCGATATTTTTTCTTTCTATTTTTATGCTTTCCTTTCTCTTGTAACAGAAACCAGTTTTGTCTTATATAGTATTATTTAACATACCGAGTATATTCACGCTCTCATAAAATCGATCATTTACTAAATTTTGTTTTTTTTAGTCTGTGTGTCACTCTCTCTATAGCAAATCCCCCTATCTCTCTCTCACGATTCGTTTATTACCTGCAGCGATACAGCTGTGCTAATAAACACGTTCGTCGGGAAACCTCAACGAGTAAATTATGTACTAACGAGCAAATAAACGACGGTCCAAAATGTGCGATGTGCAGTGTAGTGCGGGGCGTCTGGCTGTGTTGTACATAAATACACACTTGTGTATCTTTTTCTTTACACAATTATGACTATTTTCGAATTATTTCGACCGCTGATTTTGCTGCCGCTGCTGATGTTGTTTTTATTGTTGTCACATTCGCTGGAATTTATTCTCTGAGTACTTTATTCGATCACCACCGCTACTACTGGTGCAGTGCAATGCTTCGTTGTTGTTGCTTATAATAAAATATTGCGGTATTGTTTAGGTATATATTATAATAGAGATTAGTCTCTGGCGATTGCCAAAAACACTCCTCGAATCTTCACAAATTGCTGGATTTCCTTGTTGTTGTTGTTGTTGTTGCCGTAAAAGCCAGTCAGTTATGAACGAATTTCGCTCGACGAAAAACAGTTCTACAAAAAAATGGGTTTTATTTTTTTTTTCTGTGAAAAAGTACTTGAGCAGCATTTAAGGGGTTATTGACAGTAATATGTATGAAAAAGTGCAAATTTTGTATATTTTCAACCGAGCTGTTTTTTGTTTTTCATTTCACATTGACACATTTGTAGTACAAACAGTATAAATTTACTCATTTTAATTGGAAAGTAGGGCTGGGAATATCCGTATATTCAGATTTTCGAATATCCGGTTAATATCTGTGCTTTTTGTTATTAGGATATCCGCATAAGCGGATTTTTTTTTTTAAACAGATATTCGTATTCCCGGGTTATACCGATTTTGAAGAAATCCGGATAGAACTTTAAGCCCTATTATAAAGACCGACAGGCGGGACTTTGAAATTACAGTTGTGTTTTATGTTTTTTTTTCGCTTTTTCGCAGATACTACGTACATATATTTGTATGTAGATCAACTAAACTACCCGTCTAGTAGTTGTAATGGCTACAACAACCCCGCCCGGATCGGTTAGTCCCTCAATCGTGGCCGTCAAGATCTACTAACGGAAGACCCAGGAAGCGTGCAGCCTCGATGGGGTCTGTCCATAAGGACACAGGCGTTAGCAGGGTGGTGTTCAGTAGGCATGCCAATAGATGTTTCCGAGACATGCCGGGCGTTTCTCCGCATGCCGGGCATTCGTTTGGCTCATCTGCAATTATTTGGCTCAGGTACGAGTTTCACCTGCTGCAGTTGCCAGAGCGAAGGTGGGCAATTGTGGATCGAGTCTCCCGAGGCAGGCGAAGCTTTGTCTCGTCCACGTCTGATGGTTGTGTGCCCAGAACGGCATTCACAGGTCGAGAGTCTATATAACTCGAGACTGGCTCCCTGTGAATGCCGTTCAAGGCCTTCGGTATGCTGTCGGGTCCAGAATTTGTTTTATGAGCCTCTCAGTTCATATAGATGCCTTCTGTTGTGCCGTGGCGAGAGTTCTTCCGCAAGCAGATGTATTTTCGGGTGCCCAAGTCGGTGACACCATACTAGGAATTGCTTGCAGAGCATTATTTTATACTCCCTAACGGGGAGCATTTTAGCCTTGTCATGTAGATGATCTCGTGGCGACAACAGAAGGCATCAGGTCGCTGTCCGGAGTGCCGTGTTTTATTTTGCCCGCAGCTTCGTCCACGGCGACAACACTGGTGCTGCGTAATTTAGAACCGGCCGGCCAATTGCCTTGTATGTTGCCAACGTTTCTTTGCCTTTGCCCCAGGTGCTGCCAGCTAGCGACTTGAGGACCTTGTTGTGGCGCTGTACTTTATTGACAATTGCAGTTGCATGCGCTGAGAAGGAGAGAAGACTGTCGAAGGTAACTACGAGGATCTTCGGTTTGCTCACCGTCGGAATTGGTTCGTCATCGACGTGAATACCCAGTTGCAGTCTGACCTCCTTTGTCCAACTGGTGAAAAGCGTTGCTGAGAATTCCGTAGGGGAAAGTGGAGGCCCCAAATTTTTCAGCATCAGCATGCAAATCCGTCGGGTCCAATGGCTTTGGAGGCTTACGCCATCCCGATGGCTACCCTCACTTCGCCGCTGGTGAAAATAAGAGGCACACTGGGTGTTGGCAGTTTGTGCAGCCTTCTGGCCACTTGACGCTTGGCTTTGTCCGCCGGAGGATGCAGTGTGAACTGCCGGCGAGGCGTGGTCGCCGAAAGAGATCTCGACTCTGTCGTCACGCTTTTTCGGATTGGACAGTGACCTCATGGTTGACCAAAGCTTGCTCACGTCACAGGCGAAGTTACCGGTCTTCAGATGCTCTTCCCACTTCTTCCGCTTATGTACGTTCATTAGTTTCCGAATCTCCGTGTTGAGATCCCTGATACGGGGATTTCCGGGATCGGCCTGACGAAGGTTATCACGCTCATCGACTAGGACAGCATCTTCAGCAGGAAAATTCGGACGGGGATCCGAAATCTATCCAGCTGGGATGAAGCGGGCTGTAGCAGCAGTGACAACCCTGCGGAACGTGAGCATCGGTTGGTGTGGGAAGGGCAATAAAGATGCTTTCAGTAACATCCGCGAAGCCTTTCCAATAAGCTTTAGAGAAGTTGACATAGTTGCGGTGATCCACGGAAGCAAAGTCAGCAGGTTTATCAATCGAGATGATTATGGGCAGGCAGTCTGATGCCCATGTCAACATAGGTCGCCAAGTTGTGCTGTTTATCAGACATGCGCTTACGATAATTATGTCAGGCGAGCTACTGCAGCTGCCCATAATCCTGGTGGGTGCGTCGTCGTTCATTGTGCAGAAGGTCGAATCGTCTATCTGCTCAGCCAAGTGTGTGCCCTTACGATCATTCGACAGGCTTGAATGCCAAATATCGTGTGCGCATTAAAGTCGCCAACTACCATACGGTTTTCACGGATGGTATCCCTTCGGTCGATGTCTCTTCGATAAGACGATACTGCACAGTTTGGTGCGTGATGAATGCTAAGCCAACACCATTATCTCGCTCGCGATCTCGACGGTGCACGTTGTATCCGACACAATTCAACTGTGTTGAATTGTCATGCAACTTTGTCTCTTGGACCGCAGCTATTAATATTCCATGCCGCCCCATGAAGACTGTTATCTTCTCGATCTTGCTCTGTAGTCCGTTACAGTTGAATCGCAAAATCTTTGTGCGGTGTGTTGCCTGCCCGCCACTTGCTTTGCGTGCTGCTGTACAGGCTGTGGTGGTGTTGCACTTCACAGATGCACCATTACGGAATATCCTGGACTGACACAACGATCAGATGGTCGGATGAACCAAGTGTTGTTGGCGGCGGCGTGTGGGTGGTGGTGCGGTTGTGTTGGTGGTGTGGTTTGTGGTGTTGTCTATTGTAATGTGTTGGGATGCGGTAGTGTTTAAGTTGAGTAGCTCAGGTGGACTCTGGTGTGTTGTGGAGGCAGCACGGTTTGAGCAGCAAGGGGTCACAAATGAGGTGGTCCATTGTCTGTGAGTCGTAAGGTCTGAGCAAACTCGTAGGTGACTCCAGCCTTTACCGGAGTTGCATCTGAAAGAGGTGGAGTTATGATGTAGTCGTCTCTGGCACACGCAGAAGGTGTAGGTTTTTGGCCCAGGATTTGACTCGATACCAGCCCTGAGCAGAAGTACGCGAAGCAGATGTAGCCCTATGGATCTACCACTTTTGAGGGATTTCTCCGACCTTAACGGGGTTAGATCGCCGAAGCAACAGCCCTTGGCCGGGTAAAACCGAACGGTTGTCGTGGGAATGACTACCCATCTAGTCGGCAATGTTTGTGCAATTATTAAAAATCCAAGAAAAAATAAACGAAGACTTGCCTATGAGGGACAACGGCATATCTAGATTGCAGGAAAAGCAGTACAAAGGCGATCCTAAAGGATAAGTCTTAAATAATCGCATTTCTTGGTAAAGGATTATTATAATATTAACTTGGAGCAATTTAGAGCCATAGTTATTGAAATATCGTAGTTTTAGTATTTGTGAAATTTACCGTGAAGGAAGAAGGCGTAATTTTAGCCCAAATATGTTCAACATATAGCTTTTCTGTAACAAAGGCAATCGGTGTACCGAATTTAGTAGAAATTAATAAATCGGTTACCTAGATACACATTTGTGGTCTAAAGTAACTATGCCACGCCCATTATACGAAAATGTATAATAATCTAATTTTTGGCTAAGATATTATGGCAAATATAAATTTTGAGCGAAGTAGCTTCAATAGAAGTGTATATATCGCAGATATCGAGTTTCTGTTAATTACCGTTATTTTGGGGGGTGGCTTTGGTTATATAATTTGGTTGAAATTGATAAACCGGTTACGGAGGCATGCATTTGTGGTCATAAGTAGGCGGTGCCATGCACATTTTTCCAAATTGTGTTATTTTATGCCAAAATTCTACTTCACATTCGAAGTTTCAACAGTTTGGATTGTGTTGCGGAAATATCTTAGTTTTTTGCAATTTTCGAAAATACCGTTATATAGGAGGTGTGTGGTTACCGTCCGATTTCGCCCATTTGCAACACTAACCTACCTCGGACAATAGGCAACATACTCGTACATACCTAATTTGGTTGAGATATCTCAAATTTTCCACGAGTCGTCTCTTCATTCTGAGTATTTCGGTGAATATATGCCTATATCTATCTCGATTCATAAAAAAATAATCGGCCCACTCACATTGCTCTCGAAAAAGTATGTGCATAGATAGCGTAATTTACTTATAGACCAGGAGAATCACTCCAACTAAGAAGTACTGCTTTAAATCGAAAAAACAGAGACGTCAGATCCCTTCTCGACGAAGACAATTAACACAGCCTTTTTTATTATGCGCCTCCTATTGTATGGTACAGAAACGTGGACGATGACAGCAACGCATTATGAAGCGGCCCTTCCGAGTGTTCGAAAGATCTACATATGGATTAATGCGATGGCGACGATTAAGCAGCAGAATGCAGGGGTTTTTCTGGAAACCATTGGGTTTACAAAAATATTG